TGTTAGCTGTTTGATTAGAAATATAAAACACTGCTCTGCATCTTTTCACTTCAACAAATACAAAAAAACAACCCTAGGTAGGGGTGGGCGCGGGTCGGTTGCGGCCACGGAACCTCCAATCCGCCATCCGTCCGCCAGATTGGCGGATTGAAGAAAATCAATCCGCATCCGTCAGCCAATCCGGCGGATGTGGATTGAGCGGATTGGCGGTTTGGCGGTTTAAAATTATATAAATTTTCAACATAATTCAACTTGTGCACTTCCTCAAACAAAAAAAAAGAAAAAAAAAAAAGAAGAAAGTAGTACAGTCAATGACTTAAAAAAGTATTACAATCACTGTATGCCTTATCTAAAGAAAAAAAGTTTGAAACTTTAAAATATCACGATCACTGCATGCCTCATCCATATATTACAATCACAGCATGATTCATCCCCATAAAGTATTACAATCTGTGATTCTTAAAATATAATAACAATTCAAACCATCAAAACGATGAACAAAGCAGTAGTAGAGATTGAATGTCTCTGTATTGTTACATCTACATATGTTTTTGAAAACAAAAACCAACCAGCATATATCATATTTTCTATTTATTATTTTTAGAGTTACATTTAAAAACTAAAAAATATATATGAATAATACGTTTATTTTTTTTAATTCAAAAAATATATTCTAGTTGAAAATTTTTTTTCAACAGAATATTTAAACTCTTTTTCAATTGAAAACACAAACATAATATTTAAACAAATTGAAAATACAAAGTCTTATAAATTACTAGGGGTGCTCGCGATTTGGCGGTTTGGCGGTTCGGTTGCGGCCAAAAAATCTCAAATCCGCCATCCGTCCGCCAAATTAGCGGATTTGAGAAAATCAATCCGCAACCGTCCGCTCGTCATCACGCATCCGTCCAAAATGCGGCGGATCGGTTCGGTTCGGTCGGTTTTGGCGGATCGGTATATCCGCTGCTCACCCCTAACCCTAGGTATCCATTTTTGTGTTTTAATTCAATTATTTGTTGTTTGATTACTTTTCAACTCAAGGAATCACTCAATATTAGATTGGTTGTTGTATGAAAGATTTCCCAGAATTTCTCTGTGAAATCCAAGAGAATTTCTTTGGAAAGTGAACCACTTAATATTGGATTGGTTATTGTATAAAAGATCTCGCAGAATTTCTTTGTGAAGTCTATAGAAATTCTTCAGAGAGAATTTATTTGAGAAGTGAACCACTCAATATTGGATTGGTTGTTGTATGAAAGATCTCTCAGAATTTCTCTGTGAAGTCCAGAGAAATTCTTTCCATAATTTCTCTGGAGAGAATTTCTCTAGGAAGTGAACCACTCAATATTGGATTGGTTGTTGTATGAAAGATCTCCCAGAATTTCTCTATGAAGTCCAAAGAAATTCTTCCCATAATTTCTCTGGAGAGAATTTCTTTGGGAAGTGAACCACTTAATATTGGATTGGTTGTTGTATAAAAGATCTCCCATAATTTCTCTGTGAAGTCTACAGAAATTCTTTCCATAATTTCTCTAGAGAGAATTTCTCCGGGAAGTAAACCACTCAATATTGGATTGGTTGTTGTATGAAAGATCTCCCAGAATTTCTCTAGAGAGAATTTCTATGGGAAGTCTGGAGAGAATTTCTCTACATCGAATTTTCTGTGGATCGATATTGAGGGACTTTAGACATTATGAAAATATTGAATGTCCTTTATGCTATAAAATCTTAATACCAAGGACCCTAAAAAAAAATCCCTGATTTGGTATCGCTCTATCACCACAATATTACTCTTTTTTTACGTTGGTTTTGTTTGTTTTTGTTTAGCCAAAAATGTGAGAGGGGACAATTATCGCAAGACAAGTTGAGGAACAATTAGCTTATAATAACTTTAGTGCTCTTTAGTGTAGTTTATTGTAAATTAAAAACTGATAATCTAAAAACTGGACCTAGAACCAACATTAACTCCGGGATCGCTATAGGTTTTGTTTGTTTTTGTTTAGCCAAAAATGTGAGAGGGGACAATTATCGCAAGACAAGTTGAGGAACAATTAGCTTATAATAACTTTAGTGCTCTTTAGTGTAGTTTATTGTAAATTATAAACTGATAATCTAAAAACTGGACCTAGAACCAACATTAACTCAACTTTCAGAAATCAATTTTTTTTAACTAGTTTAAATTATTTTTGCCTAAGAAGTTACAAGTAAAAACTGTACCAAACAGCGTAGCATATATTTCAAAAAAAAAAAAAGAAGAAGAACAAGCAGCTCAAATTAGTCTCTGATTATGATCATAGGGGCTCTTATCTATTAGGATCATATTTGTTTGAATATTAATATTCATAGAATTTTAAGTTCAAGATTATCAATCATTTTGAATTATATATCATATAACTTATGTGTGAATGGAAATTAACAAAATTGATCAATCTCGTAATTTGACCAATTAATCTAAGATTTTAAAAAGCGGCTATAACCATTACGTAATAGTTGTGGTGGTTATCACCACTTGTTACGGTTGCTATAGCGGTACGACAAAATTCACAACTATAACGGCCGCAATCATTACATAAAGGCTATAATGGCCATTACATTATTGCTATAGCACCGTTATGACCGTTACAACCGCTACGCTTCTATTTTATAAATTTTGCATATAATGCTTATTTCTCTTTTTATTTTCTAATTACATAAAACTGAAGTGAAAATATTATCTATATATGTTTTGAATGTTTATTTTAATCTAGTTGAGTTTGAACTTGAGTTTGAAATGACAAATGAAACTTAAATTAATATGCACATTTTTAAAAAAAACTAAAAACTAAAAAATAAGAAGAAGAAGAAGAAGAAGAAGAAGAAGAAGAAGAAGATTACAAACAAAATATAAAATATTGCTCATATGATTAATAAAATTCATCAATCAAAATATAAAAAGAGAAAACACCAAACATAAAATAGAAAAATAAAATAAATTAATAAACATATATTTTCTATATTATTAAAATAAATATTAATTAATGTATAATTATGTTCACAAGTCTATTCAAATCAAGTTTGGATCAACTTGATTATTAAAAAAATTTAAAAATAGGGGGATTTGGTGATAGCCCTCTCACTATCTAATTTGTCTTTCAAAAAGACAAGAATTATATAAGTATTTTCAAAACCCCATAATCTTGTAAAACTTGTTTCTTTTACTATATTACCCTCATATCTATCAACTCTCCTATTAAGCCATCTTCACTATATATTTCAGAGTAAAATTTTACTCTGTATGAAAGTAAAATTTTACATTCTGAAACTAAAAGTAAAATTTTACTCTGTATAAAAGTAAAATTTTACTCTGAAAAACTAGTAAAATGTTAGACTCTACACAAAAGTAAAATTTTACTCTGTTTAAAAGTAAAATTTTACTCTGAAAAATAAGTAAAATGTTAGACTCTACATAAAAGTAAAATTTTACTCTGTATAAAAGTAAAATTTTACTCTGGTTCTGTCAAATAAAAAAAACAGAGCAACAGAACCAGAGTAAAATTTTACTCTGGTTCTGTCAAATGAAATTAGATAAAAAACAACAAAAATAAATCAAAAACAAACAAACAAACAAAAATAAAACAAATTAATCAACATATCTAATTGAGAAAAAAAACTTCAAAAAAAAAAACAAACAAACAAAAACAAAACAAATTAATCAACAAATCCACATATCTAATTGAAACGAAAAACTTCTAAAACTCGATCAACAATCACACATCTCAATGAAAAAGAATACTTGTGTTCAACAACACTCATACACACAAATATATATATATATATATATACACATATTTTACTGTTCCTCATCCACATCCTTCCCAACCTCCTGTTCAACTTCTTTCAATCTCGAAGCTTCAGCCTTCGCATTCAACATCGCCAGCATCTCATCAACAACCTCATCATGTTTCTTCTCCGCTTCCAATTGAGCCATCTCCACCGCACTCCGAATCTCCATCTGCTCCGAAACCCTAGCTTTTGAATCTCCAACGACATCCTCATTCAATTTCAACATACTCAAAGCCACATCGTTGCTGATTATGAAGATGAAGAGAGGACCTTATGTTGAAGCTTGGAAGACGCGACTATGGCGGTGGCTTGTCGACGACCTTCTGCTGAAGCTTGAAAGATCCAACTATGGTGATTATGATACAGTTGATGACGAAGCTGATTATATATGCAGAAGTTTAGAGTATAATAGTCCTATAAAATATTTAAATAATAAGTTTTGTCCTTTATGCAAGACTTTATAATTATGAAAGAGTTTAAAAAGTATAATTTTTTTCTTAGTCCTTTTAACAATGAAAGGAAGGTAAAAAGGATTTATAGCTAAATTTCCCTTAAAAATATGGTGAGTAGAGTCCAAAAAAATAACAAAATAAAGCAATCCATGCTTACCCCGTCACTTGATATAACAAGCCTCACAAATCATCCTGTGGTACACTGGCCTAAGGTTGTATGGCGTTTCTTAAATGTTCCCAAATGGTCTTTTATTTGCTGGTTGGCCATCCTTGGTAGACTCTCCACCCTTGACAAAGTTAAGAACTAGGGACTTACTCAAAATATGGCTTGTCTGCTTTGCAATTCTGCTAATGAAAATCATGATCATATATTTTTTCAATGTAGACATGCAAGCAGCCTTTGGAGGGGTGTCTTAAGCTTGAATGGTGAGTCATCTGAATATGGAGGCCTTGTTTGGAAACATACTATTTTAATAATTTTTTTACGAAAAGATATGCAAAAAAATAAAGAGAGTAATATAACAACTTATAGTAACTTTTTAACTTTTTGACTAAAATACTTAGTTCCCAAACATAACCAGATATGCATCAAATGGTTTCCTGAGAAGTGCATAATAGGCAGGGCAAGAAATTTAAACAAAAATTGTTCAAGCTTTCTTTTTGCATTCCGATTGCTCCAAACCAAAGCAAAGCCTGTACTTCTTCTTAGCAACCTGGTAGAGGACATTAGATGAAGAGTTGCTTCTTGGAATAACATTGAGAATAATCAGACCTCTAGGACTATAATTTGTGCATGGGATTTCTCCCTATAATCTTTCATCGATATATTTTTTTCTGATGTAATTGTTAGCTTAGGGAATGCCCCCACAAATTCTCACATTTCACCCCCCAAAAAAAAATAGAAGCCCACAAGTTTATTAAGCAAACGCTTTTGGAGACACAATCATCTTTATTACAAAGTAGTGAAATACAATAATTTCATTGAAGGATGCAGTAAGACTGGCAAATTTTCCAAACAGAAGCCAAACATAATAATAGACAACCATCATGTGCCCAACCATGCAGAAGCATATTATTTCTGAATCGATATTATGCAGAAACTCCAACCATCGGTGGCGGCCAAGTATGACTTGATTTTGACAACTACTATCAGAAGCAGTTAACATCAATGAATCCAGTCTCTGCATAATCTATGAATCTGTAAGCCGTTCCATCACCAATTTGAGAACAGAGGGAGCATCAACAGTCACAGCCACCTTGACTGAGGGTTTATCCAACCACTCAGTAACTTCAGCAAATCTGGTTTTATCATGAAAAGGCAAAAAAAATCTGGTTTTATCATGAAAAGGCAAAAAGATTGAGTCTTTAATAACAAGGTGAAAGAGATAATGTATATGTAACCAACTATATGCATCACTAGAATAACCGAATAAGGAAACAAGCAGAAATTTACAAACTCGGCATCAGAAATTCACAAAAAGCTGAATTTCTTACATATTGCAGTTTCCCTAACTGCCCCCTTTTACTCATCCTCTATATCACATTGTAGATAATTTCTGTACTTCCTACATCTTCTTAATAGCCTTTCATTAAACAAACAGAGTTGTCAAAGGTTTTCTGCCAAATGCATACAATGGAAATGCCTATAACAACTAATGTTATGTTTGGATCACTGGAATGATTAGAAGGGAATGATCATCCCATCATAATGTCATTTACAATGTTTGGTTCACTAAAAACATTATGAGAAATGCACTGCAAATACAATCATCATTCACCATTTAAGGGAATGGTCATTCCACATTCCACCTTCATTTCAATGAACCAAAAACTAACTATCAATAATAATATCTTTAACTTAGCTGTTTGATTTTACACAACTTGTCCATATATACTCACTCAAATGCACCATATTCAAATGTCTAAAACAACTAAAATCACTAAAATGGATGTATTAGCAATGATATTATCTTTAAAGATTTCACATTAATTTTCACATACACCACCACTCTAACTTGATGAATGCACATATATATACATAAGTTTACAGAAATCTCTATTGTTTTTTCCCTTACCCTTTAAAATATCCGTTATCTTTATTTGACCCTTACTTGCACATGTGAGAATATTATGTAAATTACGGAAATATATCAATTAGGTTATTTGTGAATATTCGATTGATGGTAGATTGATTGCATAGGGTTATTTCCTATTATAGATTAGGTTTCGGATTGCTATAAATATTGGTTGTAATCATTGTATTACGTACATTTGAATAGACAGAAAACTTACATAGTATCAGAGCCACGTCCGAAACCCTAGGTCTGACCTTGATCATTCAAAGCTCGAAGTCTTCTCTGGGCTTCTCCGAAGTTGCGAAGCTGTTCTTTGGTCTTCTTCAAAGTCGCGACAATCCTCTGTGCCTGGTCTGAAGTCGCGATTCAAGGCTCTCTCGTCTCTCTCTCTCTAGGGTTCGTGGGTCGTCTGGAATGTTCGTGGGTCGTCTGGGGTGTTCGATCGACAGTCCTCTCTCCCCCTTGGTTCGTCTGCTTGCTACTGCTGCTGCTCTCTCTCTCTCTCTCTCTGTTCCGAAGTGTTCCTTGACCCTATATTAGCACTGTTATTTGGTTATAAAAAAATAAAAATAAAAGTAAAAATAAAAATAAACACTTATTTACAGTTTGACCCCTCAATTTTCTGGTTATTAGACTTGAACTTTTGGTTTGGCTATTTTGCTCTATTTTGGGTTATTACACTTGAACACCTCAGTTTTTTGGTTATTATTATGTCTCTGGCTTCGGATGAGTGTGCCTTCTGCCATCAAAGGGGCCATTGGAAGTATCACTGTCCCAACAAGGGATGCCTATCTAGCTCGTCTTTTCAACAGTCTCGAACCCAGTTTTGCTCTTCTTCTCCGAGTAATTTTCAGGCTTCCGCCAGTTCTACTGTATCAGCTCTAGCTCCAGCTCCTGATCTGGCTTCCTTGCGTGCTCGGATTAGTCAACTTCAACATACATTGTCTACCTCGCAACCATCCTCGTCTGCCTCCATTGTTTCATCTCTTCATTCAGGTTTGCTTGGATCTTCTTCAGGTATTTCTTCGTCTGTCTGGATTTTTGACTCTGGTGCCTCTCATCATATGACTTACCATCTCTGCCTTACTTTCAGCTTCCTCCTCTCACCGCCTCAGTTTCCACAGAGGATTTGGTTCATATTGATCAATTTCCTTCTGAGGTCCCGTCTAATGAGTATATCTCCACAGTTCCTCCTGAACTTGTCCCATCTTCTCCTCCTCCTTCACCTCTAGCTGCTTCTCCTCATTCGGTTTCTTTTCCTCATCCATTGTTAGTTTATTCTCGTCGCCAAGCTCCTCCTCCACCGATTGTCTCTGCCCCTGCTGTTGATCCTCCTACATCTGATGACTTTGATCCTGCTGCACACCGATATCTTACTCGTGCGCGTCATCTTCCAAACACGTTGGGTTGGTCTAATATATATTTTTCTACTTCCTATCGTACTTTTTTATCTGCTATTCACTCTTTTTCAGAACCTCAGTCTTATTAGGAGGCTTGTCAAGATCCTCATTGGGTTCAAGATATAGAGGATGAGTTGTCTGCTTTACAAAAAACTAGTACTTGGGAGTTAGTTCGTTAGCCTGCTGGTAGGAATTTGGTTGGTTGCAAATGGATCTACAAAGTCAAGAATCATTTTGATGGTTCTCTTGAGCACTACAAAGCTCGTTTGGTTGCTAAAGATTTCTCACAAGAGTATGGTATTGATTATGAGTAGACCTTTGCTCCTGTTGCCAAGATGACTACTATCTGTACTTTGATCTCTGTCGCTGCTGTTCGTTCTTGGCCTCTTTATCAGATAGATGTTAAGAATGCTTTTCTTAATGGCCATCTCACTGAGGAGGTTTCCATATGTCCTCCCCCTGACCTTCACCATTCCTTTGGATAGGTTTGTCACATTCGGCGTACTCTATATGATCTAAAGCAGTCTTCCCGTGCTTGATATGATCGCTTTCAGATTGTTGTTACTGAGCTTGGGTTTCATCCTTGTGCCCAGAACTCTACTTTATTTCTTCTCCACACATTTGCTGGATTTGTTGCATTATTACTGTATGTGGATGAAATGATCATCACTAGTTCTAATTCTTCTACTATATCTGAGGTCAAGCAGTATCTTTTCCGCACCTTTGAAATGAAGGATCTGAGCCCATTGCGATATTTTCTTGGTATTGAGGTAGCTTCTTCTCCCAAGGGTTACTTTCTCTCTCAGGCTAAGTATGCCAATAAGGTTATTCATCGTGCCGGTCTTACTGACACTATGATTTCTGATATCCCCCATTGAGCTTAATGTAAAGCTCACCACTACTGATGGTGTTCTTCTGGATGATCCTACTTTATATCAAGAGCTCGTGGGTTGCTTAGTCTATCTGACGGTTACTCGCCCTGATCTTACATATGTTGTTCATGTGATTAGTCAGTTCGTTTCTGCTCCTCGTTCTATACATTGGACTGTTTTGGTTCGGATTCTTCACTATCTCCGAGGTACTATATTTCAGGATTTGCTGTTGTCTTCTACTTCCTCTTTGGACTTGGTCACTTATGCTGATTCTGATAGGGTTGGTGATGTCACTGATCGCAAGTCCACTTCTGGCTTCTGCATGTTTCTTGGTGATTCCTTGATTTCTTGAAAGAGCAAAAAACAAATTGTTGTTGCACGTTCCACTGTAGAGGCTGAATATCGTGCTATAGCTCATGCCACTGCTGAGATTATTTGGCTTCGTTGTCTCTTAACTGATTTAGGTGTCCCTCAGTCTTCTCTGACCTCCCTTTACTGTGACAACCCCAATGCTATTCAGATTGCCCATAACACTGTCTTTCATGAGCGGACGAAGCATATTGAGACTGATTGTCATTTTGTACGTTAGCATCTGCAGTCTGGTTCCATCTCACTTCCTTTCGTCTCTTTGGCTTTGAAACTTGCTAATTTCTTTACGAAAACTCACACCACTGCTCGATTTCAGTTTCTTCTTGGCAAACTCTCAATGTTTTCTGCTAAAACACCTTGAGTTTGAGCGGGAGTGTGAGAATATTATGTAAATTATGAAAATATATCAATTAGGTTATTTGTGAATATTCGATTGATTGTCGATTGATTGTATATTCGATTGATTGTAGATTGATTGTATAGGTTATTTCCTATTATAGATTATGTTTCGGATTGCTATAAATATTGGTTGTAATCTTTGTATTACTTACATTTGAATAGACAAAAAAGCTTTCAGAAAACTTACAGCACAAAGTAGGATTGGGGATGGAAGTGGAAGTGGAAGCAGAAGCAGGAGTCAGGGTAGGGTAGTGAGGGCATAGAAAAAATTTCAAGGTTGAGAGCACCTCCGGGAGCGTGTAAATATTTTATAGGTTAAATATATAAATATATTCTAAATTTTTTTTTTTCTGCTTAATTGTAATATATATGTTAAATATGAATAAATATTAGTGATTTATATCAATTACAAATTGTCTTTGTTAAGTATAAATTAATAGCATACAAATAAAAATTGCTACAATAAGTTTAAGTTATTTTTCTTTTATTTCTGTGATATTTGAACCTTTGAGAGGGTTCTATCTCTTTAGAGTGAGAATCTTACTCGAAGGGAGCGTGGAATCATGTCTCTAACTAAGGAACGCCACCCAAGTAGGAAATTCTTGCAACTAAGATTTGACCTCAATAAATCATTAGGACCAATTAATTCATGTTCCATTTAAGGGGCCCAAGCAAGCTAAGTCCACATTTGTTAAGGCTGGCACATATTCTTGTAAGCTTATAAAAATCAAAGGAGAAATCATTCTATTCATTTCCAAAAGCAATATATGATTCTATTTTGTTTTCATTGGTATAATTTGTTTCTATGTAGTTTCCAAAGCCAAATATGTTTCCAGTCAATCTCATTATTCTCCTAACATTTATTTTGGGTAAATCGTTTCAGGATTTCAAGAAACCATCTTATTTTTGTTGGCTTTTAATTATTATTTGGAAGTAGGGGTGGGAATTTATGACAAGACACGATAACACGACTCAAACCGTACACGAAATTAGCGGGTTAGAGTTGACCATTTCCTAACTCGAACATGTATATGACATGACCTGATAACATAAATATTAAACAAGTCAGGTTAGTGTCAAATCTGTATAACATGAAACTAACACGGATAACCCGTACAATATACAATTAGTTACACATTTTAATATTATTTCCACTAAAGAGTATCATTTCATTCTTTAATCTCTTTCGTAATTACATCCAATTTATTAAAATGTAAAATACGATTTTAAGTTTAATATAGGTTTTGTTTTGCTTTTAATTGAATTTAATGTATTTTTTGTCTATTATTTGAGTTAATCTAATAAAAAATATAATAATAAAATATAATTTTTATAAATTAAGAAAATAAAATAAAGTTAGAATTAAATATTTTTATAAATAATTTCATTTAATGGAGATTAGTTTCATTAAATTTAACTTATGTAGAAATTTTCAAACTTTTTTCACATATTTGATATTTTTAGTTAATAGTGAAATTTGTTAGCATGACACGTTAAGACAACACGAACTGGACATGGACCGAAAATGACACAAAACGATAACAAGAAATAATAATTATGACAAATCCGACATGACACGACACGAACATGACCCAACACGACACGACGCCTACCCCTATTTGGAAGTACGGTTAAGCCCAAATAAATACAATAAAAGTTGCAATTCAAATTGACAATTAAATTGAAAAAGGTCCCATCTTATGGTTAAGCCCTCCATAAATACCATCTTATTTCTGTTGGCTTCATCAACTTGCATACTATAATAAACCATTGGGAGTGATTTGGAGTGCCAAACAACCCTACCTTTTCGGTTTGTTGTAAAATAATGTGAGGCCCCTTGTGATGCCAATTGTCTGGACTCTAACAATACCTTCTGTATAAGTGATCAATGAAGGATTAACAGCTGCAAGAAGGGCTGTTGGATCATGAAGATAAACACCTACATCAAGTCCAAAACTACCATCAATATGTCAAATGAAAAGGTTCTACCATTTAACTGGGTTCTATTTTCATACCAAAAAATAATAATAATAAATAAATAAAATAAAAAAAAACCTTTCATGCAGTAAGAATCGTGATGATACGAAAAGTACACATCTAAGATCTTGCACAGGTAATGAGCAAATTTTCCACCAGATTGTGCCAGCTTATCACGATCAGTATCTACATGCATAGAAATTGGCAAAAGTTAGGTTTAAGGGAAGAAGAAAACAAACATAAATTTTGGCCATGTAGCATATGTAAACACAAATATATACACAAATGGTCTTAAAACCTATATATGGCTGTTTTCTACCTGTCCCATTACATGTGCCTTTCCAAACCAGTCTATTTGTGGCAATTAAATGAAATTATGGTATTAAACTTTAATCAAAGGGCAGATCGCTTCCAACATTTTGTATGTACTTGCTGCAATACATTCATGATGGTACCCATATATCTTAAGATTTAATTGGTTTTTAGTTTGGAACTCTTAGAAAAGAGTAAAATTTGACAGTTCTATTATTGATCCACAAAAATAATAGAGTTAAAAGAAGATAAAAAACTTGACTGATTGAATTCTAAGGCCAAGAACTTAGTCTAGTGCATGTAAACTGGCCCCGGATACCCTACATATCCAAAAAATAATTAAAGAATTCCAGGGCCAAGGATGAGACATTCTCAGCCAAGGGTGCTAGTTGACCATTGTTATAATATATATATATACATATATATTATGTATAACTTTCATTTGGAATTTTGGCCTAAATTCCTTACTCCTTGATACTCAATCGAATCCTCTTTTTTGACGATTGAATGCTCGACTATACTGTATAGTCACATATTTAGAAATTCCTGAACTCTTTCTTCTGTATCATCCTAAGAAGCATGAACACAGATACAAATGTGGACACGGACACGGGACAAGGCGATTTCAAAAAAATGGGGACACAGACACGGCGGGGACCAAACAAAACCAAACCAAGCCTTAAGTCTCATCAAATGAGGTCGGCTACATGAATCATTCTTCTCCACTTAACTCTATCAACAGCGGGGACATGACATCAAAATATGTTTTCATATATGTTTATTTGCTATCTAAATTAATACTACGTCCACAAACAATCAATATTAACAAAAACTAACTCTAACTCTAATTCTATATATATATTTTAAAAACACTTTTAAATTAACACTTACAGTTTATATCTTTTTTATGGATAATCTATTAAGTATTCAAATCTAAGAAAAAAATAATAAACATTCAATATTCATCAAAAACACTAAAGAAAATGGGATAAAAGACAATTTGGCATGTCCCTAATGTGTCCTCGAAGTGTTCCCAGCGTATCCCTTGAAAATAAATTAATTAAATAAGTGGGCATGCATGTGTCGTGTCCTATATATGTCTCCGCCGTGTACCTATGTCTGACATGGATACGGCACTGGTTTTAAAGTGTTGGTGCTTCAAAGGTATCATATGATATTATGGTGACGATACAGACCAAAATTCCATTATGGTCCAATTCTGACAGCGTTTATCTCAATAAGAACAGTGCGCTCTGATGTGTAAGCAGGAGAGAACGGATGTCGTGATTAGGGTTTTGAACAAGATGACTTTTTCATTTTTTTCATATTGAAAAAGCAATAAGAATAATACAAAATTTTCAATTATGAGTTGGACGCTTTAACTATTCAGCCACAGATGCTTAGTGGGGATTCTTGTATACGGTGACCAAATCTCATCTGTTATTTTTTTTTTTTTTCTCTCTTCAAAACTAGGAGAGAACGGATGTCGTGATTAGGGTTTTGAACAAGATGACTTTTTCATTTTTTTCATATTGAAAAAGCAATAAGAATAATACAAAATTTTCAATTATGAGTTGGACGCTTTAACTATTCAGCCACAGATGCTTAGTGGGGATCCTTGTATACGGTGACCAAATCTCATCTGTTATTTTTTTTTTTTTCTCTCTTCAAAACTACTCATACATAACACAAATATCTATTTAGTGAAATATGGTATTTTCTTCTAATTCATTCAAGATATGTGAATGAACCTACTGTTGAATCTAATGTGTTAAAATTAACGTAAAGTAGAAGATTTGCAATCCCCGTTCACATTTTTTTCTTTTTTTCAGTACATCAGAAAGTAAAAGTCAAGCGAACAAACAGGGACTAAGCCCTCTCTCTGGGTAATCATAACATATCAGCAACTAGCAAGCTTCAAATTTCTGCTGGGGATCATTCACAACAAGAAGATCCTCTGGTTGTTCAGCTGCAAACTTTGCCAATGCATCAGCACACACATTACCTTCTCTTAACACATGCTGGACAGTGCACTCAGATCCATTGAGTATGATCCTAGATTCCTCAACAAGCCCTGCTGACAGGAACTTTTCCCTGGCCCTCCTTTTTCTCATGTCTGATTAGTAGTTCTCTTTTTCTTATCAATGAATAAATTTATTTACTTGTATGACTTAGATGTCTCGTATTTCTCAAAAAAAGAGATTTGATGCCCATTGAGGAAAATTCCCCATTGCCATAGGAGTCTAGGCCGTGTGTCAGTCCCATTGTGGCTGATCATCCTCTTGGACCAGCTATTGATCATCCCCTTAGTAAGCTATTGCCTCACCACCTAGCTGATCAAATGAGCCCCTTGGGTGGATTGTGTATTGGGGGATCTAGAAATATTTTGTGATTAATGTATTAGAAAACCTTCTTTGAATTTGGCCAAGATCTTCGGAATTCATTTATTTCTCTTAGTGGTGGCTTACTTTGATATTTAATGTTCCAAACTCTTTACTCTTTTTTTTTTTTTTTTGGGGGGGGCTCAAATAAACTTGTTTTCACAAAATATGTTTTAGATCTCTATTTTTTTACCCATGTTGTACCAAATTCTGCTAATTCACTTGCCACTAGGTTTGTTCACAGGTCGGTTTGGCTCGGATTGCCATAGTGTTTGAATAAATCATGAACCAATCCCAACCAAAGCTGCTATCAAAATCGATGGTGGATACAGTCAGTTTTGTGGGTCGGTTGCGGTTAGTTTCACGTATCAGAGGTCAACTCCCCTTTCGCCAAAATCCAACACAAACTAACAAACATTGCACAATCATTTCCACCTTCTAACACTGCCACTACACCACCACATCTCGACCAATACGAACTTGCAAAGTCTTAATCTCTGACAACCCCAAATCAACGAATAAAAACTTGATTAGACTGGGAGATAGATCTAAGGAGGGTGAAAAATAGGGGGATTGAAAGAAGTGGGGGAGAGAGAGAAGTCAATGCTGACTGCCGCCTGAGTTCTCCACCTCAGCCATTGTCGCCAGTGAGTAATTTTTTGCAGCTGAATGACAGTTTGTGAAGAGAGAGATGGAGGGGCCAAAAATCATAGATGCCTTTAAGAGAGAGAGCGAGAGAGAGAGGAGGGGGAAGGTTTTGATTGATTGGAAAGACAACTTGATAGACATCATCACGTGTTATAGTTAGAGGACACAGTTGGTTGTATAAAATAGTAAGGTGACAAGGTGTAATATCAAGTGCAAATGGGAAGAAACCACGTCTATTAGTTGATAAGGTGTTATATAACCTTCCAATAAAATGGAGCCACGTGGTTTAAGTGATACTAACCAGTAGGTTTGGTTTTGGCAAATTGGTATTCCTTAAGACCGTGAGCCAACCAACCATACTACATCGGTTCGGATCGGATCGGACAATTTGATTGGGCACATCAGATTATTGAACACCCCTACTTGCCATTACTTCATCAAGACCACGAATATGAGCAATACCACTGCTACTTCATAATTCTTCTATTTTATTGGATGGAATTTCAATGAAGTAGATCTCTAAGAGCCACGAAGTCGTAGCTTTCAATACAAAATAAATCATTTAAAGCTCAAGATATACCACTGTCAAGAGGAAATTACTTATTACTTGGGTTGTTTAAATATTTTGATTCAAAAGGGGGGGTAAAAATAAGAATTAGGTTGTGCCTCTGCCTATTTGAGCCAGATGAAAGGAGATTTTCATGTCCAATTTTGAAGGGCGAAGATCCTATAGGATCCTATACCAATTTTTCTTTAGTGGTGTCTAAAATTGATTTCTTCTGTGTAATACTAATTGATAGGGCCTGCTTGGTAAGAGCATAAGACGATTCTTTAACCATTTCAGCCCTCAATTTACCTACAAAAATATCACCCCTCTGTGGGTGATTCTATTTGCACCCAAATAATAACTCAATATGCCCAACTTAAATTTTGAAATTTTAGTTCCAATTATATCCTAATGTAAATTTACTAATAAGGACAATACACATTGAACCGTAAAATAAAATATATATTTTTTCTCATGGTATACACAAACCATTTATACGTATTCTTTATATTCAACACTCTTCATCTTCTTTCTAAAGTTTCAATTATTTTATTTTCATCTCCTTCCTTACTCCAAAACTCCAATCCATCCCATCAAAACTCACCATTATCATCAACATCATTTTTTCTTATTGTGTTATAATTTTTTATTTTGGGTCTTTTTATCAACCAATCGGAGCTTCAGATTCAACAATACAACTTATCTTTTATATTTCTCTCATAGTAATTTGTTTCTGATTAGTTTCATTTCATTTTGATGATTTTAATCGAATATTGAGATAAAAGTAGTAGTTGCTATAAAAAAAAAAATGGGGAAAAGAAATAATTAAAGTTTCGATTATTTGGATGGTTGCTTTTATCATAGCTTCAATTGGGTGTACTAGAAATCGTAGGTTTAAGCTTCACGATTTTATTCTTTTGAGTTTTCAGGTAAGAATGGTTATCTAACAAAAACGATCTAGCATATACAAATAAATCCCAAAAAAAAAAAAAAAAACATTGACAAAATTGTCTATAAATCATATCTATGAACACGTATATATATATATATATATTTATTTGACATTATTATATATTAATATTAAAACGAGGAGGTAGAAATGAATAGAAGCGTGTGTTTCGTTGTCCTCCGTCGTTCTTTTTCGCTGGCGCCATTGCTTTGTGAACAAAAGGAATAATTATAATGAGAAATCTGTTTAAGGATTTTTCAAAGGGTTTTTCAAAATGGTGTAATTTGGGATTTTTGATTTGTTTGTTATTATTATTATTTTGGTGTACCTTAAAGGGTAATTTGGAAAAAAACATAGGGTTTATTGATAGTAAATTATAATCCTAAATAATTTAATGGGGTGTATTAAGAAATTGGGCAAACTTAATGATTTTTTGGGTGCAAATGGAATTCCTCCCATCTGTACCCAAGATCCTAGCATCACAATTCCATCAGTAGATTTGTTCCGTCCAAAATTGGAATGGGCTAGGGTTATGAAATAAAAATTGGATTCATATAACATGAGAAAGAATTCCCATTCCTTAGTAGGAAAGATATGTAGCCATGAAAGAGGGATTAAGTGAAACAGTGATCAACATGATTGTAACTAGAACTGTCACACTCACTTCTGTGAAACTTTTTATCCTTATCATTTCCATTCAGATCTTCACTTGCACTAGCGTGGGTACTGCGCCTTTTGGGCCTATTTCCTATGACATATTTGACCCTCTAGAATGTGAATCAACAAGGTCTACATTTGGCAATAAATCGTTTTTCCCACAAGTATCAGATTCCATTTTATTATTTATCAAGGGACTATGGAAATCCAAATGACTAGATCGAATACCCAAACTTGCCAAATATAGACCGATTCACAAAAAGTAAGAGTCGCCACCTAATTTTTAATGGGGAAACTAAGAAGCCCCAACTCTGTTAATTTAGGCCATTGATCCATCACTATAAAAAATCTTGATTTGGGAATCTTCTATTCTATTTTTGATTCACCTATGACTTTAAACTAGCCTACCATCTATGAGATACATACATAAAATATAGACTACATCACATCTATTAAAAAGCTTCTATTCCCTTTTTCTTTCTAACTCTAGGAACATTTATAAGATTGACGGGTTTCTAAGAATCTGAGGATAGAAACCTACCAACAATAAGGCTTTGTTTGGTTACAATTTTTAGAAACTATTTTTAAACAAGCTTTCGTTTGCCTTGACTGAACTTTTTTCATATTTTAATCAATTTTTATTTTTTATTTTGTAGATACATCAAGATTAGATGCGTCTAAAAAGTAAAAAAATTTAACTACGTTATGAAAAAAATTCACTAAAAACACAAACAACCTGAACAAAAATGCGCACAGATTTTTGCTCAAATTTTCATCAATTTTTATTGATTTGGTTGTAAATTTTGTCAAATTTCAAAGTTTGATTCCTTAGTCTTAGATTCAAGCCAAGTTTAGATGTTTTGATTTAGAAAACAATTTCATTTTCATGTTTCCCATTAAATTTGCATGAATTATGTTGAGTTTTCATGAACCCTAGCTCAGGGAAAAGGAAGGAGAAAAGCTGAAAATGCTGAATTTTCGAACAGCTCAGACTTTCCCAAAACCACACATGCAGCCTGTTTCACCAGATTTCAACTTCGAGACTGCATAAAAGGCACGTGCGGTTTTGGTCCCGCACATGCGGAATTCCCCTGTTTCGCATGGAGTTTTGTTTTGGTATCCTCTTTCACTTGGGACACTTTTTGTATGCATTTGACACTTAGTTAAAGCTTGAACTAGACCTAGAACAATGCTAAACACTTACAAAAGTTTAAGAAAACATTAAGCAACATTTATGTATTCAGTTTGTTAAAGCTTATTCGAATTAGGTTTGTACTTCAATGTTATGTTATTATTTGATGTAGGTCAAGCTTTGAAAGAAGGAAACCTCTTGTTTGACCGAGCCATTTGTGAGTGGTGATTTAGTAACACTATGTTAAATCAAATATGTTTTCAATGCAAACTTGATTATGTTTATAAACTTTGTTATGTTTTGCTATGAATGAACATTCTATATTATTTTATCATGTATTTAGATGACATTCATGGATCAGGCCCACAATTGGGGGAATATCCAATCATATATGATGGCCGAGCTCACTTTCTTTACGTTTAGCCGGTACCCGGGTCAGTTAAGCACCTTGTAATCCTTGAAATGCTCATCACTATGTATTTTGTTTGCAAGTCAAGTCATGTTTTGTCTTGTACAAGTTAATATGTTATTTTGAAGGAATGTTTAAATCTTTCAATGTTTATTCATTTACCGCCTTACTTTATTACTATTCACTGCGCAATGGCTCACCCCTCCCCATTATATGTATGTAGGTGAAGACGAAGAACAAGGACACGAGGAAGAGTCACACTAGAACCCTTTTTCTTTTATTTTGTTCTTTTGAAAGATATAACCTTGAGACAAGAGTTTTGTTTATATGTTTTGATTTTTATAAGGGCATCTTTTGATGTTGTACGCTTTTCTTTTTATTTGAGCTTGTAAATATCAAGATAAGTAAATAAGAGGTTCGCTTGTTTTGTTCCACTCTTACTTATGCACTTTGATTAATATAATGAACAGGTTAGGTAATTCCGCATAAACCCCAAGGTTATAGTCCAGTCTTGTCTTGCTAGGCCTTTTGTAGTTAGATACTACCGGCTGGTCATAGCTGCTATCCTGTTTGGGACGGGATGACATTTGACCAATTCTAAGTTAAATTTTGAAAATGAAGAACTGATTTGATTAAAAACCGGAACCCAAAATCGATCGAACATGTGAACTAATTGACCACTCTCAGCTAAGGTCGAGAACAATTTTGGACTTAAAATTGGGAAATGGTAACCCACTAAGTCCATTGGTTGTTCAAGAGTGTCTACTGCATTGCATTGGTAACCATTTCATCATTAGGAAGCACCCAGTATACGAAAGTTTTATGGCTGGTCAAAATGGTATCTACAACTAGTATTTTAGGACCAAGACTCTCCATTGATTTACTTAAACTATCACTTCTAATTACATTGAATAAAAAAAATTTAAAATTGTGTTTTATCTATTGAATCCATTATTCTTTGTTCTCATATATATTTTTTTTAATTTTGTTTTATTTTTTATTTTTTATTTTTGTTTATCTCTTCTTTTCAAAAACAAAAAGGTGATGGTTGCTGCCTCTGCTCCAAAGAAAAACAACTAACCCAGGAGAAGACGAAGAAGAAGACGGCACAAGCAGTGGAAGACTTAAGATCTTCTGCACAAGCAGTGGATCCACCAACCATGAGACCTTTGCCGAAGCAGAAGCATTTGGTGACGCCGTTGACCACCGTCTGGCTTATAAGCAACAGCCCGAACGCCGCCAGTCCGTACGCCGTGGATGCGTCGGTGCCGTAAACGGGTTGATTTCTTCGACGCCGATCATGATGGTCGAATCACGGCTGAGGAGCTTCAGTCGGTTTTCGCGGCCATTGGTGATGATAGTTGTACTGTAGAGGATTGCAGGCGCATCATAAGCGGGGTTAACAAGAATGGAGATGGGTTCGTATGCTTCGAGGACTTTACGCGTATGATGGGATTGCAGAGGTGAAGGCCTTTCGATGGGTGAGTCAAGGACAGACTCGAAGGAGTTGGGCGTGAAGGTGGTGGACTTGAAGAAATTTCAAGGTATGTGTAGAAAAATTTTAGCGAACTAGGTTGATGTCCGGCGAGGAAAAGAAGCAGAAGCTTCCGAGATCGCAGGATTCGCCTCTGATGGTGACGACGTAGGCGAACCGGACGGCGATGATGAGAACACCGAAGACAAAGAGTCGAACCAGAATGTTCCTCAGTAAGCTTGGCTTAGACTCCATAGCTCTCTGTATATATTAAATCGAGAGAGAGGGATTGCACTAACTGTTGAGAGAGAGATGTGGAATTTGTGGCAGCGGAGTGAAGGTATATGTAGAGGTCCGGCGGGCGGCCAAGGCGATTCTGCTGCCCGCCGGTGAAGCAGAATTATTAGCTTCTTAACTTGGCTCTGATACCATGTAAAAATTCAATGTATAAAAAAAGAAATAGAGAATTGTATTATTGATTGATATATTGATAGATTTTCTGTCTATTACAAATGGTTCCTTATATAGATGTAGGTGTAGTGGATGGTGTGTAGTGGATGGTGATAGTGGTGTAGTGGGTTAGGTTTAGTGGAGTAGGTGAGGTGGTAGTGGTGTAGTGGGTTAGGTTTAGTGGAGTAGGTGAGGTGGTAGTGGTGGTAGGTGATGGTAAATTCTAACAGATAATCCATCAATGAAAAACTCATTTAACTTAGAAAGGCTCTAACTAGTAATAGTGGGGAGATTATAAATAATAATAAAATAAGAAAAATATAAAATTATCAATATTGCTCTGAAAAAGAGAGTAAATTTAGAAACATAGAAAAGAGGATTTTTTTTTTTCCCTGACCCTGAACAACTGGGATATAACTTAAAGCCACAGATATGGTAACACATGCAAGGGCACATGCATGTACATATTTTATGGGCAGAAATACAATCAATGTATATGGGTGACAAAGCATATAAAAGTGTTACCTGTCAAAACAACTTGGTGTGTAACATTAATCCCAACAGCCAAAACATCAGCACCGCTTGTAAATACAATATCTGCAGCATCTGGGTCGCCAAAAATCTGGCCATTTAATCCATGAACAAATGATGTGAAAAGAGAAAGTTGGCTGGAGCAAACTAAAGGACATTCAATGACATTAATTCAAGTAAAAGTGATGGAGAGAAGTCGTGCTTTCAGAGCTTGATAACCTATAAGTTTATTAATAGCTGAACTCTCTCTCATGCAGATATGTGACCCAATAAAAGAAGCAATAAAACAAAATCTATAAAGGATTTTGAGTTATATGACAGGGACATGACTATTTCAACTTTATTTGTCGCTGTGACAAGAATTTGCATGCTGGAGGCATTTGAGACATTATTAGTAACATACTTCTGGTTTCTGAAGTCACAGTCCCACACCATATCCACACACATTAACAATGAGCAACTTACATTAGCCTCCGCTGCTGGATTCACATTTCCATTTACTGCAAAAGCGCCGCCAAGAACAACAATCTGCCCAATAATTTTCGCAAATGCAGGATCTAATTGAATAGCCTGTATCAATCGATAAACTTGATAAGCAACCTTTTTTCCAATATTTTCGGTAAAATCGACAGCTTAATAATCAATTTCTTTTTAATTCAAAGCCCATGGAAGAACCTGACCAATGCAATATTTGTAAGAGGGCCAAGGGCCACCACGGTGACTTTTCCAGGGTAAAGGTTAGCTTGCTGGACGAGGAAAGCAGCTGCTGACTGTTCAATTGGCTTTCCTTCTGGTGGGGGAAAGTTTTGGTTGCCAAGCCCATCAGCGCCATGTACAAAATCAGCTATACGGAGTTTTGTACCTTTCTATATTTAACCAAACATAGACAAATCAACTTTATACTCTACTGCAGGATGTGACTTACTAGTGAAATTATGCATTAGATTCAGAGTTGGAACAAATAACTTTGAAAAAAATGAAGAAAAAATGAATTATGTATCTTACATAAACAAATTAATGAGGTTCAAAGTACCAAGCACCTAAGAAATTGCGCCTAGAGGGGTCGTGAATAAGCCAATTTTTTTACAAATTAATGCCAAATTGGCAATTATGAAATTAACCAAGTGATTAATTGATTTCAAATCAATTCGAAACACAATTAACCAATCAATTAATCAACCCATCAATTTGGCAATTAATCAATCTAATCCGTCAATCTCATCGCATAAAGAGCAATCAACCACAAGACAACAAACCCTATAAATTTAGAATCCCACTTCCATAGGGAGAAAATCACGATCCGAACACCCACAATCAATCCGTGCTTCTTAGCTTTTAAGGGAAACATTAAAGGAATCAAAATTTTTTAGGGAAAAAGGATCATACTTAATCAAGTTTGATCAATGTGACCTTGCAAGTACTTGACAAGAGGTGTGGGCGCACAGAGAGAAGAAAAAGTTCAATGCTTGATAAAAGCAGCGATCCTAATAGGCATAATTGCATAGAATCAAGATGGAGTCAAATGGTGTTTACGTACAGTGATTGTGACATGAGATCCTTCAGCCACTGGGATGTCAGTCCTCCCTGCAACCTCCAACTAAACCATAAAAGACAGAGAGAGAGAAAATAATGTGAATTTCCAGAAATAACACACGCACACACACCCAAGAAAAAAAAAAAGGTCCTTATCTTAGCAAAAGTCTGATTCATTGAAACCATGTCATCAAAAAAAAATGTGAGGAGGGTGATAAGGATCTAGAGTTAAACAAAATACTCACCCAAAAAACAGTAAAAGAAAAGCTTAACCAGATCAATTTTCCTTGATTACTTTTTAAGTAAAATGAAATCTACACCCAAAAAACTAAAAAGAAAAGAAAGAAAGAAAGAAAGAAAGAAATACCAAATGCAAAGCATTTCTTGTAGCGAGTGTTGTATAGACATTTCCATAAATGGTTGTGAGTCCAATCACTTCCACTTCTGGCGATCGCAATGCCACAAATATTGCCATGGCATCATCTGTATGCATAGGGTAACTTGCTTTGTCACAATATCAGACCCCCAAAAAATTAGGGGAAAAAAAAAGACAGTGGATTTGGTTTGTGTTTGGAGGTAAATTTTTAAAAACAATTGTGAGAGGGAGTATATAAATTTTTTTAATTTATTTGGTGGTATATTTTGAAAATAATTGTGGAGTTTGAAATGATTTGATATTTTGTTATAATTGAGTAGACGTGTGTATTTAAAAAAAAAAAGTAAATGGTCGTGAAAGAAAAAATGATTGAGAGGGGAGAGATGATAGAAAAAGGAATTGATTGATGTATAGCAGAGAGAATAATTTTGAAAAAAAAAATCGAAAAATTTGAACCAAGCAAATGTAGTTGGGTAGATGTGTGTATTCACCCGAAAAAAGAGCAAGGCTTGGTTTGGTTTTTTTTTTGCTATTTTAGTTTGGGGCTAAAAAATCTAATTTGGGAAAGGTTTTTTGTTTTTTTTATTTTTTTCGAGAGAAATAATATAATGATTATAAGTTGGATGTAATATTTTTTTCTTATTGATCTAAAAAAACTATTTTGTTTTTTGTGGCTATTTTAGCTCCAAACTCACTTCCCAAACAATGGCTAAATGTGCATGAGAGAAAAAATGATTGAAAGGGCCAGACAAGAGATAAAAAGTGATTGATTAATTTGTAGGGGAGAGAGTGATTTGAAATTTTTTTTCAAAAAATTTAAACCAAACAAAATTTTAAAAAAATTTCTCAAAAATTATATCTTGATATACAATCCAAAGAAACCCTAATTTTTTGAATCCTCCTATCCTATGGCCCACTCAATCGTTTGAAAACAGAAACTCTAGTGCAGAAATGTTAGAATCTCATGGGTTTTTTATGATTTTTATGTTACTCTCTCTGTCCTAAAATAATGGTCATTTTGAGAAATTCAATTTTTTTAGTACAATTACTGCACTTTAAAAAAGTTAATTTTTCAAAGTTATCCTTTTGATAATACATTTTTTTGAGAAATATCAATGTCATAATTGTTTTTTTTTATATTATTTATTAATTTAAAAGAAGGCTAAAATAAAAAATTTATATTATTTTTGTACTTGATTTTTGAAGAGGAAAGGACTAATATTTTGAGACAATAAAAAATGAAATAAAGAACTAATGGGACGGAGGGAGCATAAAAATTTGTTTGGGATGGTGGGGTTAGGATCAGTTAATTTGCAGTGTTTTGTGAGGAACCAGCAAGCATAACAAATAAGTAATTGAGGAACCAAATATGATTTTAGCATATAACAGTATCAGATCAAGCCACAGATCCTTGTAAAAATAATTATTGTGTATTTGATGAATGAGATGAATTAGGGAGAGAGAGAGAAAGAGAGAGAGTATGATGACCGATGCCAGGGTCGGTGTCGATGATGATCTTCTTTGGTGGTTGTAGTGTGGTTTCCATCTCAATTTAGCTCCGCCGCAACCCAAATTAAACACAGTCACCCCCCAAATCCCCACGCCGGATCCTCTCCAACGCTACTGTTCTATTAATTAATTGTGAATTAAATTTTAAATTGTATATTTCGTATTTAATAAAATATCAAAATAAGCAATTAATAAAATATCAAAATAAAACTTAGTAAATTTGTACTTAATATAAAATTTGTACTTAATATAAAATATCAAAATAAAACTTAGTGTGTGAGAAAGATTTAAAATATAAAATTTGTAACAAATTAATAGTTATATATATATATATATATATAAATATCATTGTTGTGTTTGGTTATCATTTTGGGCTAAATAATCATAAAAAGACAATAAAAAAAATCAAAAAATCACAAAAAGACAAAAAAAAAATCATTGTTCCAAAGCTAAAAAAGTCAAAATAGCCAATCAAGAATAGCAAATGAATAAAAAAGTCATTCGCTAAAAAAGTTTAAAAAGTCAAAAAACCAACTAAAAAAATCATTGTCAAACGAAGGCTATATAAATTAATATTATATATTATATAGATGATTAATAATCGGTTAAAATATTTTTTAATCTGTCATTTCGTTTAAACTGTAATTTGTTAATCTATCATTTAATTTAGGGGATTTTTTTAAAGATCTCTGGTATTAAGATTTTATAGCATAAAGGGTATTCAATATTTTCTTAATGTCTAAGGTCCCTCAATATTAATCTAGAGAAAATTTGATCCAGAGAATTTCTCTTGACAAATCACAGAAAAAATTTCAAATCGCCCTGGACACATCACAGAGAAAATTTCAAATTTCTTCGGACAACAATGAGGACTAGTGCTCTGCTTCAAAGAAAATTGGGTTAGTCTAAAGAAATTCTCTGGTTTTGACTGAATTTTCTCTGAGTTGGTCCAGAGAAATTATCTGGTTTAGACTGAATTTTCTCTGGACACATCACAGAGAAAATTCTAAATTTCTCTGGACAACAATGAGGACTAGTGCTCTGCTTTAGAAAAAATTGGGTTGGTCCAGAGAAATTCTCTAGTTTAGACTGAATTTTCTCTGATTTGGTCTAGAGAAATTCTCTAGTTTGAATTAAAATTTCTCTAGATTGATTTAAGGGACCTTAGACATTCTCTTCAGATGTCATCATTGAGTAGGCCACCTGGTATTCATCCAAAGTGCGGGATAAATTTCGGCATGATATAGATGCTTATGTTGATGGGGTTTTTCCCAAAATAAGCTAAAATAGCAACATATTTCCCAAACTAGGCCTAGTTTGGATGGAATTCTCAAAATAAGTTAAAACGTTATTACAAATCACACTTTTACCATATTTCTAGCCCAGCCGCGGAAAAGTGATAAAAACCCTGTTTGGTAGAGCTATGGGAAAGTGCTTATAACTTATGCCTAAACAGCTTATAACTTATAACTATGAACATAAGCTGATTTCTGACTTATTCTTAAAGCATCTCCTGCCCCACTCAAAGAATAAGCTGATTTCTGACTTCCAAAAAGCTATAAGCTATAAGCTAAATCAAACACATCAAAATAGCTTAAATTAAGCTGAAATAAGCTGATTATAATTTCTGCCAAACAGGCACAAAATCGTAAAAGCGTGATTACAAACCACGCTTTTAATTAAGAAAGCGCGGTTACAAACCACGCTTTTAAGGAAATCTGTTTTTGTAAAGAAAGCGTGGTTAGAAACCACGCTTTCAAATAAAATTATTTTGTAACCAATATATAAAACAAGTAGGGAGGTGGCTCAAATGGTAGTGTGCTCCTTTTCATGGGAGAGGTATGAGGTTCAATCCCTCACATCTCTAAACTCTTACTTTTTTCAAATTCAGTTCAATTTTTTTTTTCCTTCCACTTACTTTATACTTTATATATTTATTATGTAATTTTGTTTATCAAAAAAAGTAAAACATTTGTTTAGTTAACTAATATTTATAATAAAAAATAAAATTTTTAAATTTTTTTAATATTTAAAATATTAAAAAAAATACAACACATAGATGTATGAAATATAATACACATTAAAATAAATAAATAAATATTTAAAATATAAAATATTTACCCTAAAAAAAAATAAATCCAAAAAATTTCAAAATATAACTTAAATTAAAACACTTTGACCCTTCATATTTGCAATCATTCCTACTATATTCCTAGACTAACTTCCATAAAAAAAACTAACAGAATCTGCCACATCACTTACACATCAACTCCATGTGTGATGTAAAAAATTCACTAAAGATGCAAAAAAATAAAAAATAGAAAACAAAAAAATGAGAGTTTTTTTAGTCTTTAGTGAACTTTTTTTTTTCAAATTTATTCATAGACATTATTACATTATAGATGCATCTAGATTAGATGCAACTAAAAAAATAAAAATAAATTTAATTAAAAAAAGAAAAAAAAGTTTACTACAGACAAAAAAAAATTAAAATATACTGACTCAAACACTTGTATTGTCAATTTTGAAATAAAAAATTTAGGGTAAATTACATTTACCTCCCCTGAGGTTTCTGACAAATACAGGGACCTCCCCTATGGTTTGAATAATTACAGTAACCTCCCCTACTTTACCTGACAATGTCAAGATTCCCCCATTCTGTTTATTTTGCACAAACGACGTTAGTATCCTATATAAAATGACCATATTACCCTTACTTTTGCCTAGAAAAAGACGAAAAAACCCTTTGCTTTGACCAACACAACCATAAAATAAAATAATATAAAAATATTTATAATAAAAATTATATATTTAAAATAAAAAAATAAAATTTTTAAATATTTAAAATATTAAAAAAATACAACACATAAATATTTATTTATTTATTTTAATGTGCATTATATTTCATACATTTATGTGTTATATTTTTTTTAATATTTTAAATATTAAAAATAATTAAAAAAATTATTTTTTATTTTAAATATAATTTTTATTATAAATATTAGTTAACCAAACAAATGTTTTACTTTTTTTGATAAAAAAAATTTACATAATAAATATATAAAGTATAGAGTAAGTGGAAGGAAAAAAAAAATTGAATTGAATTTGAAAAAAGCAAGAGTTTGGAGATGTAAGGGATTGAACCCCGTACCTCTCCCATGAAAAGGAGCACACTACCATTTGAACTTCCTCCCTACTTGTCTTATATTTTGGTTACAAAACAATTTTATACCACGCTTTCTTTACAAAGTGATTTGTAACCATGATTTCTTAATTAAATTTTACAATTTTATCAATTTTTCGCGGCTGAGCCAGAAATATGGTGAAAGCGTAATTTGTAATAACGTTTTAACTTATTTTTGGGAATTCCGTCCAAATTAGGCCTAGTTTGAAAAATAAGTTGCTATTTTGGCTTATTTCGGGAAAAGTCCCTCATGTTGATACAGTTCGTGCTGCCAAGCTATCTGAACTTACAAACCCAGTATGAGGTATTTTAATCTATAAACTTTGGATTGCTTAGTTCATCCAGAAAGTGTCCTTTTATGGTGACAAATTTTGAGTCAAAATAGGAACAAACATCAATATGATCCCATACACAGTGGTTTTGTGATCACTTCTCATTACTTGCTAATTGTTTTGATCAACTGTAGTCAAGTGCAGTTATACATGCAAATGGCAAAGCTGGATATATCTAGGGACTTCAAAAACTTTATAGAATCTTGTCCCTTTATTAGTCAGTCTTCTTTGTAAGGAACTTATATATAATACTAAAAATTTGCAGAAAAAATTGAACGAGGCATTATTAGGACCTGTGGATGCTCTTTTAGACGGAGCTGGTGATGATATTTGGCCAGTAATAAGGAAACTTCTTCGGCGTGAGATAGAATCAGCTGTCTTTGGATTATCTGCAGCACTTTCTTCTTTTGACATGGATGAACAAACCAAGGATAAAATGCTCAAGAGTTTGGAGGATTTTGCAAGAGAAATTATCGAATCAAAGGCAAAAGAAGAAGCTGGAAGAGTTCTTTTCCATATGAAGGACAGGTAGTTGTTGCATTTGAGATTTAAATTTCTAGCAATAGCTCGATTCAATTGTTTCAACCTATAAGTTACTGAAATTGACTATAAAACTACCCACAAATTTTCAACAATATTTAGCCATGATTCTGATTCGACGGCGTGGTAGAGATAGAGGCGAAGGTGAAGATCAGAATGTGCACAAAAAGAGAGGGTTTGGTTTGAATAGAATGAAGATCGGAAAGAGAGAGAGAGAGAGAGTCAAATTTCTCTAATATGATATATGGGTGTGGGTTTAGGAATCTTAGCTATCAAAAAATAATATTGTGGATCTCTTCCGTTGCTAAAAATGGTAGAGGAACCTTAGATTAATTTTCTCTTTAATTTATAATTCTATTTTAAACCGTCCGAATTATACCGCCTACAATCCCAACCAAGACAAGGATCCAGCTTATCATTTAAGTGTACTTTTTACCACATAGTAATACAAATTAATCAGTTTAGGAGTTGTTTGGGGTGTCTTAAATAAGTGCACTTTTTGACTTTTTGGACTAAAAAGTTGAGAAAAAAAATATGGTTGTTTGAGATAATTTTTTGACTTCTTATAAAAAAATGTGTATTAAAAAATTGTATAAATTAGTGTATAAGAGAAGATTGTGAGGACATAGGCAGTACGGTGAGATAGTTGAGGACAGCGTGTGCAGAGTGTACTTGGGATATGATTCCCTACTTTTTGGACATTGAATTAGAGGTGTAGTTCGGCCCGTGGGGGCCCACCACGGGTCCCGTTTTGCTAATCAAAACCGTTTAATGTGTAGAACTCGTCGAGTACTTTATGCTTGTAAAAAATCACGTTGATTGGATATTGATAGCTATCTGATCGAGTTAGTTATTTTTCAACCGTTAACTATAACACCATCCATTTTATAAATTTTAACTGATTTGATCATATATTTACCGATATCCAATCATCGTGATTTTTTACAGACATATACTACTCGACGAGTTTTACACATTGAACGGTTCAAATTATTAAAATGGGACCCGTGATGGCTCCTACGGGCCGAATATCACCGTGTTATTTGTGCACCTAAAATCGTGCAATTTTTCTCAAAAGTCACCTCCGACTGTTGGACCGTAGAGCTGTCTGAAATGTAATTATGTGTTAAATTAATTTTTTAATATTTTTTTTGGTAAATAGTGATAATTTTTTGACTTTTAGAGTAACTTTTTGACTTTTTATCTTTATCAAGACATGCCAAACTTGACCTAAATATTTCTATTTATCTATCAATTCCTTCTCTCTTCATGCTGTCAACTGAATCCTTAGGCAATTGAAGTAATGGTTTTGGTTGCAAAAAGTTCCAAAATTTTCTTATATAATAAAACTCAATTGTTTCTCATAAGTTTACTTTGGCAAAGCCCCCCACAAAATCAACGTCAGAAAATAATATATATATATATATATAGACTCCCATGAGTATAAAAAAAGTATTAAAATTTTGGTAAAAAGATGTACCAATTTGGTATAAATTTGTCATTTGGACACTTGTTATTATTATTATAAATAAAAGTTCACATTGAAAAGAGCTTCATAAATTTTAAAAAACTTATAATATATAATTAAAAAAAACTCACTTTAAAAGAACTTCCACCAATTTAAAATAGGTTCTACCAACATTTCTTAGTTTTCGTTTTGAATTTATAAGTTCTATTTATTTGATAACTTTTGACACTTTTAATTTCTTCTTTTTTCATAGCTAAATGTTTTAAATATTCTCAAATTTTAGTTATGAGAATCGAAGAGACATGAATTTTACATGATATAATTTACTAAAAATAATAAATATTATTTACATTTAAGTTTAAAATATAAAAAGCTTCGCAATAAAATTTTGCTTTAGGTCTCGTGGTAGTGAAGAAGACTATTACCACTTAAGTGACACATAATATATAATAAACATTTTCTTTTATTTTTACTTATTTGAATTGTATATACATTACGTGTGTCAACTGCTAATTTATTTTTAGAATATCTAATATAGATAATTGCTACTAAACAAAATACTTTTGTGATCGTCACAAACCGTCACAAATAATAAAAATGTAGTCAAAAAAGACCTTTTGTGATGGCCATGCGACCACAAATAAGGGACGCAAATATGAGGTGACATACTTTTTGCACGGGTAGAGCCGCAGTTACAAATTATTTATGACTACCTAAATGACTTTTTGTGACAACTATTTTGTCGTCAAAAAAAAAAAAAAAAAAAAACTTTTAGCAACTATTTTTTTACCATTGCAAATAATTATTTATTATAAAAAAAACTACAACAAATAAAATCAATTGCAAGCACCTACCATTTTTTTTAATGAAAAACAACAAAAATAACAAATTAATTTAAACTTATAACAAAAATATTAACCTATATTCACACTCACACACACACTTACACATAGTGTGCAAACAAAATATAAACTTTCATATATGTAAAACAAATATCCATTAACCATTCTTAAAATACATCGTACTAAAAAATTTAAGTCCTCAAAAAAAAAAAAAAAAAAAAAAAAAAAAGAGCAACATAATCTCAATTTGGCTCCAAACATCACCCACTTGATCATATCAACTACTCCCACAACAATACCTGCAAACACATATATCAAACTTGACTTGAAAATTTAATGCACTTCAATGTGTTAGTTTAACTTGAAATAATCAAAATAAAACTATTTCAAAAGAAATTGTCAAAAGACAAAAAAAAGTCATCTCTAAATTCTTTTGCTTGAAGTAAATTACAAAAATATAGATGCCAATTCATAATTTGCACAAATAAATAGACAAGAAAATGTTCACCCAATCCAATCAGATTAATGAATAAACCAAACAATTTGAAAAATGAACATAATCTCTGTCCTAGCATAGGTTAAACCAGAAGGAAGCAACAACAAGAAATTTGACTTCACTATTTATAAGTTCATTGCCACTACCTAGTGCTATCGAGTTACAGAATTCACTATGTAATTCAAGAATTAGCAATGAAGAATTTGGGAAATAAACTCAGTCAATCAATAACAAAGAATTACAAAAGTAGCCCATTAGTAGATTGAATTGCTAGATTATCCAATCTGAAAGTTTTGCCTTCAAGCACATTTTGGCCAAGAGCATTTAAACAGTTTCTTGCTGTCTCTGATATTTATTGTTATGCGATGCATTTGATCTAGAGTCATAAACTTCCAAAAACATGTATACAAATATGATCAATTGTATATGAAAAATGTTAAAAATCTCAAAAATTCTACCAAATGTCTCACATAAATATGAGACCTATGTGGGTCCCAAATTTATGTGAGACTGACATTTGGTAGAAATTTTGATAGAACTTTTGGAGTCTCTAGCATTACTCATTGTATATTTCTACAAATGGATCACATTAAGAAAGAAAGGGAAATCACATATGATGAACCATCCATAGATTAAGCAATATTCCTAGTTCTTCTGCACAAAAGATTCTCTCTCTCTCTCTGTCTCTCTCTCTCTGTCTCTCTCTCTCACACACACACACACACACCCTACTGGAAATTGATTAAAAGCCATACCTAAGAAGACTTCCTGCTCAGCTTCATCGTGGACCTCAAAATGTGATTTGCCAGATTCAGCAGGCTTCAATTCTCCATTGCCATTCTAATAATTCAAAAAAATAAATTAATAAATAAAAAATGTAGGAAAAAACCGAGAATCAAAAGAAGCACAAAACTTCGTGAAAAACTTAATAGCATTCAGGAAGTGAAATTAAGCAACGAGCTAGACAATGATGATATAAACCGGTGATAAAAATGTTACGAGTTTGCTGTTAAACTCTTCCATTGCTTTCTCATATCTGCCTTCTTCTTTGTAGGCTTTGCCACCTAAGGAGCTTTCTCCAATATGCAACAAGAAAATAGCAGTTAGTGAGCATATGATTCAAAAAACACAAAACAAACAAAATAAATAATAAAACATAAAAATAAAATCAGTTCTAAGGATGTAATATCAACCAAAAAAATAAACTACAACATTTTCAACAGAAATGGACTAATCAGCTAAACATGGAGTACCTCCATATGGATTGCTGTGATTCAAAACAGTTAACATAATAATTTTGAGCACAACTTTCAAAATTCATTTTGGTTGTTGCTCGTAAGTGAAAGTAGATCTTACAGATTTAGAAATTGCTTTCCATTTCACTCCACCAGCTTTCCCAACCTGAAACTCATATAACTCATAATAAAGGAGAGTAGACTTCCGTTTGGTTGCCAAGAAATTATAGGAAAACAGTTACGATTCCTAATTGTTTGACGAAATGCATCTCTTGGAACTAAACTTCAAAGTACTGAGCCAAACAAAACAACCGAGTCTAGATTAAGTTCACCGACTTTCAAAACCAAAACATTAACAAAGCACAATTAGATTTAAAATACATGCATCTTCCTAAATTATGTTTTGAATGATTTTTAGTTTAATATAAATATCAAAACAGATAAGATAACACACTACTATTTTCCATTCAATCAAAGTCAAGTTCTGAAGTTAATTTTTTTATTTGTTTTATAGGATACTATTTCCCATTCAAACAAAGTCAGAATGTGAGTTGCTCTCATTGTGCACAAGCATGAACTTAGAAAATTTATATATATATATAAAAAAAATCACTACCAGACTAAGCTGAAGTTTAAAAAAAAAAAAAAAAAAAAAAAGAAATAAAAATGAAACAAATCCCAAATCCAAATTGAGATCACCTTTGCTGTAGAAGGATTAATTTATAAAAAAATTGAGATATTATTATGGACTTGACTTGGATGACAAAGAAAACAACAATGCTACAAACAAGGGAAATGCTACGTCAATACAAGAAACTTCAGAATTAGTGGCATTTCAAAAGTGCCACAATAGACCACAAAAACACTGTCAAAAAGTTCAGATGATGTTTATAACATTGGCCGCGGATATGGGCATCATCTTACCTTCATGGTGTTTTAAAAAATGCCATTAGTCTTACCGCATATCCACCTAAGCATTCTCATCTCATCTACACTCAATTTCTACACGTGTTGTTTCTTAGCTACCCAACATTCTGTAATCCCAGGAGGTCACCTATTTTAGTACTATTTTCGTCCAAGGATGCTTAACTACTGTCATATATTCATATATGATTTTAAATTACATTTACTTGTCAACACCCTAGACACTTGCAGATATATGCACACCAAACATTTTCATCCATTAATGCTTCCAATATAACTAGACTTCTAATGTAATTTGCCGACAAGGAATTCCCAAGTCACCAAGCCCAAAACCTAAAGAAATGACTAAGCAATTTTACAATAACTTCTTTGAACAACAATGCTACACTTATCTCACATGTAAGACTGAACATTCAATGAAAAACTAAAAAATAACAAACTCAAAAAGGCATAATGTAGAAGGGAATCATAAAGTTACCTCGCCAACATGAATGCAACTGAATAGCAGCTTTACGTATTGAAATGAACTCCTTGCGAGCAATATAAGTATGAATTTGCCTTTGAATTTTGTTGGCCGCATTTCCAAGAACCTCAGCTAGTCACATCCACCTCAGCTAGCTGCCCAGCTCGCAGGAAGACCTTTGTCTTGCCTATCTGCCAAGCCAAGCTCATGTTACAATATGAAATAGAAGTTCTCAGATCCCATTTGTAAAATTGCATCACATCAAAGTGATTTTAAATAGACAGTTAAGAAAAAGATAAAAAATTGAGTAAATTTTGTGTCATCACCTGAAAACCCCAAACAGAAAGGAAAATAAACATTTTAAACATAAGCCTAAACATTCTGCAACTACTTGAAGGTGGCAGAAGTTGAAAGTCACTTTGGACATCAAGTGAAAATGCCAGCATAAATAGCATGATCAGGACAATAAATTCAATGAAACATCATGATTACCTGATGACCTTTCAATCCCATTTTATCCAGAATCATCTGGCATGCAACCTTGTCATCATAGCTGCACCAAAAGTAATCATAGTTCAACAAAAAGAACAAATGAAGAGGAACAAGAATAAGAGCAAGGCACCAAGAAAGAAATACAGAAGAACAAATCACGGGGCATTCCATATTTAATCAACTTATACAATAGATAGCTGAAATTTTTTTGAAAGCAGATCCATAATGATCCTTAAATTAAACACTAGAAAACAAAAGAATACAACTGAAACCTACTTTCCATGCAAAACTTCTGGAGCAAGAACACCAAAATGGAGGAGAAACTCATAGAACAATCATCTAGTGGGGTACCCTGCACAGCTAATTCTGATTGCCTCAAGAGCAGCCTACAGCACAAAGGAATGACCAAGACATATAATTAATACCAAGAAATGAACCATTAGAGCTAGGTTTACTTTTCCAGGTTAGATAATATGAATATATTACAATGTGAGGTATGTGGTTTGGCAGAATATACTTACACCACAACGTATTTCCAGCATATGTCTGTGAAGAGGATAGAAGAGAAATCAAAATATTAGCTAGTCTTAGGCCTTTTTTGGCAAGTGGTGATTTTAGCCAAAAAGCCAAAATGTCACTAAAAAAACCAAAAAGCCAACAACCTATACAAAAAAGTCAAAGATTTCCTTTTCTCTCTACTTTTTGTACATTTTTTCGTAAAAAATCAAAAAGTCATCCCAAACATACTAATTTTTTTTACATCATATTTTAGCCCAAAAAGCCAAAAAATTACTAAAAAAACCTGTTTCCAAACGAGGCCTTAAGTTTAATCTCACACTATCTACTTGCATAACATAAATAAAAAGAAAATCAGATTCCCACATAAATTTGTTTAAAATCGCTTCTATTTTATTTCTCTTTTCCATTTATTTTTTTTCTTTTGACTCCATAAATTCAAGATTCTAACACAACCTTACAGTTTTTTTTTTATTTCTTTTGACTTTATAAATTCAAGATTCATACACAACCTCATAGTTACTGAATAGACGTACATTATTGGTCCAAGAAGAAACTGTGTAAGACATGAAATGGTTAGACATTTTAATTTACAAGAAAAAAACCAAAGTTTGGGAAATTTTAATTTACAAAAAGCAGCTATAGTACTTCACAACCCATCTGAAAACCCTTCTAAGTGGAAAATGAAAAGCACATTCGATGTTACCAAAAAGAATAATTAGACAAACAAGCTTTTGATCACTACCAAAATGCCTTGCCAATACATCACTATTTTAGATTTAGATCTGAGTTGTAGTTTACCTTCCTCGGTAATGATTAGGCACTACCGCAGAGCTTCGTCAGTGCCAGCACCATCCTCTGATGGGGATCCTGTATTTTCTAGCACTTGTTATTCAAGTCCCCCCAAAAAATATAGACATTCGATTGGAAAAATCTTGCACATAATTTGTATAAATTAGAGAGGATAAATGGAAAAACAATTTTAGTATGAACAATGACAGAACACGAACAAACCTTTGATCCTTTTGGGACCATTGGAAACTTTTTTAAACCAATGGAGTGCCTACCAGCTCGCAAAACCTGGTTGTCATCTTGAAACCACTAAATCCTTCATCAAAATCCTCACAGGACGGTTTGATCTGCATGAGACAAATGCCAAATTTCAGATTTTCTCGACACTCACCAAAAAAAAAAGAAGAACAAATGGCTCAAATTCGAACCAAATCGAACCAAGTTCACTTCTTCAGCCCCCCCAAAACTACACTCATAGGAAATATCCGCATCCAACCAAATAGAACCATATAATTGAAGACTGAGATAATTGAATTATACTTCATCAAATCCATTGGATTTTTTACAAGAGCATAAGAATCTTCAGAATATAGAAATTGGTCCATAATGGAATTATAAGGGTCATTTCCCTAAATAAGCCAAAATCCTAACACTATGTGTGGAAACTTAGGAGAAGAAAGAAAAGAAATGATTATTTAAGTATAACAAAAAAGAAAAGAAATGAAAAGAAATGATTATTTAAGTATAACAGAAAAGAAAAGAAAAGAAATGATTGTTATTTCTCTTCTTTTTGTTTGGATAAGGAAGAAATAAAAGAAAAGAAATGATTGTGATTTTTCTCATTCTTGTTTGGTTAGGTTTCTTTAAGAGCAAAGAAAAGAAATTATTTTATGTTATATTACCAAAATAACCTTTTTATATTTTCAATCATTTTATTTCTTTTATTTTTATAGGGACAAAATTAGTGTTATGAAAATAGTGGTTTATTTTCTCTCCCAATCTCTCCACTTTTGGAAAGATTGAAAATGAGGTTTATAAGAGAAATGAGTTTCTCTCAATTTCTCTTCATTTCTTCCCATTTCTCTCTACTTAGATTATCCAAACAAATAAGAGAAATATATATCACTCCATTTCTTTTCTTTTCTCTCCAAATCACTCAATCCAAACATAGCGTAAATCAATTCCCAAATTAAGTTTAGTTTTGAAAGAATTTCCAAAATAAGCTAAATCGTAGTTCACAATCACGATTTCAACATATATGCGCTTGTCTCGCGTGAAATTTGGGAAGTCTTAAAATCGTGGTTACAAAACGTGTTTTTGATTAATAAATCGCGGTTAGAAAAGGTGCTTTTAATTAATTTTTTTCCTTCTGAACTCGTTGTTCTAAACCACGTTTTTAATTTTTCTTCTGAACTCACTGTTCTAAACCACGCTTTTATGAAAAAAAAAAATTCTTCTGAACTCGCTGTTTCGAACTACGCTTTTTGGCCAAAAATTTTTCTTCTGAACTCGTGGTTGTGAACCACGCTTTTTATACAATTTTTTAAAGTGAACTCGTGGTTTGTAACCACGCTTTTAGAACTTATATAAACCCTCCCCAGCCCCGTCATTTGCAATCACGCTTCTTAGACAACACAGTTCGCTCCGGCTCTCTCTCTCGCTCAGCCCCGTCTCTCTCGCTCTTACTGCTCTCTCTCTCTCTCTCGTTGTGCATGAGCTCCCTTTTTGCTCTCTATCCTCTCTCTCGTTGGTATGCCTTCTGTCTCTCTCTTGATCTACTTTGTTGTGTTTTTTGTGGTTGTGAAAGT